ATATATATATGGTATCAGATTGATCTAATTTCTGTGCACTGAGGACAAGCAAGTCCTAGGTTACAAACTGAACTCTTCAATGCAAGAACAAGATGTATTTCTTCCTTTAGGAGGTGCTACTGTCAGAAGAAAATTAAAAGGTTTCAGTTTTGTTTTTGCATGTGGGTGGGTATTCTGTTTGTAATAATTGTTTGGATACACTATATTTTTAATATGCTAGTTGTGATAATTTCATGCCAACTAAACATTTCCATAGTCATATTTTATGTTCCTAAAGTAACAGAATGACTTTCAATCTAGAAAAGACAAAAGAAATGCTAATGTAGCATTTTTTCAATTTTCCCGAAAATTTCCATTTTTTTCTGGGGAAAAACGGGGTTTTTTCCGAGCTTCAAAATTTCTGGAAATTTTACATCTCTAGCCAGGGAGCATGTTTCCCGCGCCGGATCACGGTAAGTACTTGGGAACCCTAGCCCCTGGGTTAATCACTTGAAAATGCAACCTCACCTTCAACCTGAAGTGTTACTTACCTATCTAGGGTTTTGTTTTTTGTTTTTAAATCTTGCCCTTCCTCTACAGAGCCCAGGGCAAGATATACGGTTCTCCTCTCCCCATTTTCATCCCCACAACACTGTGAGGTAGGTTATGTTAAGAGAGGTCGGCTGCCCCAGGATCACCCAAGTTTTATGGAAGTATGTGGTAGATTTGAACCTGGATGTCTCAGATTATTTTGACCATTAATACCACATTGGACACACTACTTCTTCCTCCTCCTGTCCTGTTCTCCTTCACACAAAAACACGTTTCTTTTTTTACCTCATGTAAGCTTTTGCCCTCCGTGTGCCTGAGCAGAGCCTTCAGGGGGAGGGGTCATTTATTTCATAGAATCATAGAATAGTCCAGGGGTGGCCAAACTTTGGCTCGGGAGCCGCATGCGGCTCTTTAACACATATTGTGCGGCTCCCGGCAGGGTGGCTGGGGAAGCTAAATATCATTAGCAAACAAATATCATTGGACAAATAAATATCATTATCTATATCTGCTTTTACTGCTTTTGTTATTATTTTGGTAGTCTCATTTAATGTTAGTAAAAAGCAAATCTGCATATTTACCAGTAATATTTGTTCATGTCTTGCGGCTGTCAAACATCTGATGTTTTTTCTATGTGGCTCCTACGTCAAGCAAGTTTGGCCACCCCGATCTAGTCCAACCCCCTGTACAATGCAGGAAACTCACAAATACCTCCCCCTCCACACCCACAGTGACCGCTGTTCCATGCCTAGAAGATGACGAAAAACCTCCAGGATTGCTTCCTGACCCCAAAGTGGCAATCAGCATTTCCCAGGGCATGTAAAAAAAAGGCCACAAGAACTAAGCACTGATGCAATCCTTCCTGCCCTCCCTCTCACGATCTGCTTAAGTTCACAGAATCTGCATTGCTCTCAGATGGCCATCTAGCCTGTGTTTGAAAACCTTCAAAGGAGAGCCCACCACTTCCTGAGGAAGCCTGTTCCATTGAGGAACCACTCTGTCAAGAAGTTCTTCCTAATGTTTAGCCAAAAACTCTTCTGATTTAATTTCAACCCGTTGGTTCTGGTCCAACCTTCTGGGGCAACAGAAAACAACTCCATACCATCCTCAATATGACAGCCCTTCAAGTTCTTGAAGATGGTTATCATATTACCTCTCAGTCATCTCCTCTCCAGGCTAAACATACCCAGCTCCTTCAACCTTTCCTTATAGGACTTGGTCTCCAGACCCCTCACCATCTTCGTTGCTCTCCTCTGGACACGTTCCAGCTTGTCTATATCCTTCTTAAATTCTGGTGTCCAAAACTGAACACAATACTCTAGGTGAGGTCTAACCAGAGCAAAGTAAAGTGGTAGCATCGCATCTCATGATCTGGACACTATACTTCTGTTGATACAGCCCAAAATCACATTTGCCTTTTTAGCAACCACATCACACTGCTGACTCATGTTCGGTGTATGGTCTACTAAGACCCCTAAATCCTTTTTGCACATACTACTGCCAAGACAAGTCTCCCCCAACCTATAATTATGTATCTGATTTTTGCTACCTAAATGCAGAACTTTACATTTATCCCCACTGAAATTCATTAAATTTGTTTTAGCCCAGTTTTCCAGCCTGTCAAGATCATCCCGTATCCTGACTCTGGTTTCTACTGTATTTGCTACCCCTCCCAATTTAGTATCATCTGCAAATTTAATAAGCATTCCCTCTATCCCTTCATTCAAATCATTGATAAAGATGTTGAACAAAACAGGTCCCAGGACAGATCCTTGAGGCACTCCACTTGTCACTCCTCTCCAAGATGATGAGGAACCATTCATAAGCACTCTTTGTGTGCGATCTGTCAACCAGTTACAGATAGACCTAACAGTAATAGGATCCAAACCACATTTTTCCAATTTGTCAACAAGTATATTATGTGGAACCTTATCAAAAGCCTTACTAAAATCAAGATAAACCATGTCTACAGCATTCCCCTGATCCAGCAAGATAGTAACTTTCTCAAAAAAAGAGATAAGGTTAGTCTGACATGACTTGTTCTTGAGAAACCCAATTACAGCTGTCCTTTCTAAATGCTCAAGGACTCTGATTTTTGTTCTAAAACGTTTCTAGGTATAGATGTCAAGCTGATGGTTCAGTAGTTACCCGAATCCTCCTTTTTCCCCTTCTTGAAGATGAGGACAACATTTGCCCACCTTTAATCTTCTGGCACCTCACCTGTTCTCCAAGAATTCTCAAAAATAATGCTCAGAAATTACAACCGTGAGTTCTTTTAGTACCCTTGGATGCAGCTCATCTAGCCCTGAAGACTTTGTTTCATTTAAAGAAACTAGGTGTTTATGTACTACACTAGGTGTTTATGTACTAGTGTATTTGTGTATTTATTTATTCGATTTATAATCCACCCTTCCCCATAAATGGGCTCAGTGAGAAGGAAAGCATTTCCAAAAATACACGGTGATTTAAAATTGAATTAAAATTAACATAAACTTGACAATTCAGTTAACCATTACATGTGACAATTTCAGATGGCACCAGCAAGCACACAATTCAGTATCCTTTCCCGATGGGGGAGAAGGAAGGAAGGAAGGAAGGAGCCAGGTTAGCGAAAAAACCATTGCTGTCCTCGTCTGGCTAGACCTCTTTATAAGATGGCTGCTACCCTCAACCCTCTTTTTCTGAATACAAGCCTCCCGTGTGCGGCTACTTGCTTTCCTTTATCTACCTAGGCCGCCTCCCTCACATAAGTTTCAGAAGCTACCGTCTACAGCAGCTTTCGCAACTTTTATGGCACTGTGGGAGTCAGGAGGTGCTGTGCCAGGCAGAAATTCTCTCTTGGAGGCAATTCCTATGCGGCAGTGATCCTGTGTCTTATGCTAGCTGCATCGAAGGACACATTATGCATCTTGGAGCACAGAGCTGCACACGTCGCATTCTCCTATCTTTTTAATATCTTCTCTTTTAAAAAATAAAAATGGCTCTTTTGGGTCTAAATGGGTCTTTTAAAAAATTCATTCCTCTCAGAAGAGAGGCACACTCTTGAGGAAAGGGAAAGGCACCCTGGCTATGCTCGTGGCATTTTAGGAAGATGGTTTTTAATTTACATTATCAGGAAAAAGATAAACCAGAAGTCAATCAGCAATAACCAAAGGGAAATATTAAAAATTATAAAAATATTTCAGCTAGACCAATCCACTAGTAATTGTGATTCTCAGGTCCAGAATGTAAAAGTGTTCCCAGCTTTAAAAAAAGGATAATTTTCCCACTCTCCCACCTCTCAACAGGATCACTTTGGTTAATTTTGACAGTGTATTTGTCACACTTTCTATTTGTTACACTTTCTAAGCCATGCCATAACCCTTAAGTATTTAGCACACCTCCAATGATGACCAATGACCCCAACTATGACCTTTGCTGTTTTCAAGCAACCTAAAATCATACTTCCATGGAATGTGGAAACATAATTCCCTAAAAAAAAACCAAAAACACAACCTTTGATACTTTTAATATCTTCCCTTTATAAAACAGAAAGGTGAATCTATGGAACAAGAAGGAAAAGGGAAGATGGTTCCATGTAAAAAGGTAAAGCAATCTGCATGGGCCGTGGTTCTTTTTTAAAATAACTTCATTGGTTTCAGGGGAAGCACACTCATGAAGAATAGGAAAGGGGCTATGAATATGAGTGGAAATGGGTATTTTTTTTTAAAAAAAGTTATTCCTCTCAGAGAAAGGCAGAATCATGAGGTATTCTGCCTAGAATGCCAGAATTGGGGGAGGGGACACGTGGCCATGCTAGAGGCAAAAGCAACCAACCAACCAACCAAGCTAGAATATTTAGGCTTTACCTCAGCTCCCCAAGCTACATCTGCTGATCGACCTCCCCTTGCAACCTACCTGGTCCTCAGCTCCCGCCCGTCTTCCAGCGATCCACCCTGCAGGGCTAAGGCTTGGGTCATGCGCTCTAAACGCATTGTGCGAGGTGTAGAGGGAGCTGGGGGCTCGCACAGTGCTAGGGCCTTCTCCTCAGACCCTCGCCCCTCTTCCTTGACAACATGGTTCTGCTGAGGAAGACAGAAGGATACAGAGAGGCTTTACCAGGGGATGCTCACAGCCCTGGAATCACCTCAGGCTTGAGGGGGCTGAGGTATGAAAGCTGTGTAGAAACTTGCAGCCCAGAGACAGACCCATTGTACTTAAAAACAACTTAGTTCAATGCCTTGTCCCTAAAATGGGACCCTGCACATGCTATTGCTCCCACACAACATCAGATTAAACCCCTGCACTACAGATTATCATGTGCCACAGTCAGATTAGAGTGAAAAGGGGGTCTCATGTCAGAAATATCTGGACAACGCCAGAAACAGTTTGGCTCAAACAAGCAAGACAAGCCACATACTGTGGAAAGGACACCCCATGGAAGAATAATAGCACAAGCCTTGCTGAGTCAGACTGAGGGTCAAATAGTTTCGCATGACATACAAATGCAGAAACCCTGAAGTAATCCTGGCTTGTTTCCTAGCAGTGCCCTCAAGCATTTCCCAGCTACAAAGAAAGCTGGCCAGAGTAAAGGTGATGAAACCAGCAAACTCAGATTTCAGTAATAATTAATTATAATTATCATATGGCATTATGTGTAGTATAGCCAGGAGATCATAAGATTGCCTGGCAGCCAAGAGTTCTAGCGCTTTTAGCATTATGCACCACTCGGTGGTGAGCTAGGCTTGTTTTTTTAGGCAAGAGACATTTCAGAGGTGGTTTGCCATTGCCAGCCTCTGTGTCACAGCCCTGGTATTCCTTGGAGGTCGCCCCTTCAAGTACTAGCCACAGCCGACCCTGCTTAGCTTCCGAGATCTGACGAGATCGGGCTAGCCTGGGCTATCCGAGTCAGGATTTCAGATTTCAGTGATCATATGCAACCCACACGCTGGTTTCACAGACTAACCACAGTTAAAATAAACCATGATTTTGCATTAAGTCTGAACTGTACAGGGCCCCAGATTCAAACCCTGCCATCTACAGTTAAATGATTTCCGGAGGACTGCTGGGGAGGACCACTGTCAGTGTCAAGCTGCACAGGAAATGGTCTGATCCAGTATAAAGCAATTTCGAGTTGAAAAGTTCTGAGAACGAAACTTTCAAGGCACCCCATAGGATGCATAAAAACTTGCCTTATACCACTGGTCTACCAAGGTCAGCATTGTCAATTCTGACAGCTGCTTTCCAAGGATTCGGGTTGAGGTCTTACACTTCACCTAATATCTGGTCCTTTTAACTGGAGACGCTGGGGGTTGAGCCTGGGACCTTCTGCATGCAAAGCAGATGCTCCACTACTGAGATGCAGCATCTCTTCAGAGCGAGGGCACTACCGGGGGAATTGCCTAAGGTCCAGGTTCGCTGCTCATCTCCATTCACAACATACCATTTTCTCTCCATCGCGAGCAGGACTGTGGGGGGCCAGGCGGGGAGTAGAATGGCCACTGCTGGGAGGAGAGGGGCTGGCCAGAGTGGAGCTGGTGACCGAGGGGGGAATGGAAGCACCCGAGCGGTATCGGCCCAAGGAACCGTCCAAGCTGGCACTGGTCACCCGGCTTTCGATCTCCTCTGCCCGTTGTTCTGTGGATTCCTTTTCTTCCTGGATCAATCTTACAGAAAGTTCGGGGGGGGGGGGGGGGGAGAGAAAAAGGTGTGAGCAATTATAGAATAATCAGAGACGTGCATTTCCTGTGCGCTAGGGGGTTTGCAGGGATGGTTCAGGAGATGGTTGAAGGCCACCCAGAGGCAACGCAATACAGCCAGCCAGGCTGAAAACTGTTGCTGCCAGGCCAGATGCGATGTGTTATGACTGGGCGCTTCGGAGGAAGGCTCCAACCCAGTCCCAGAAGGCTTTACCAGCTAAAGTGAGCAGTGGGGATAAGGGAGAACAGAAAGACACACCCAGCTGAAGCGGTGCAAGCTCTCCACTAAGCCCCAGCGAGGGCAGACCAGCAGAGCTTAACGGGGAGTATGAAAACTGAGGCATTCGCTCCCCTGAACGCCCCATGTCCTTTGCCTCCCACAGAAAGTCGGCCTGAAGGGAACGCCACACGAGACAAAACCGTGAAGTCCTCCTTTCCCCCCTTTACGTCAGAGAGTCACTGCCCAAATCAAAATAGACTCTTTCCTTGGAGGATATAAATTTGCTTGCTGACAAGAGACTGACCAGTGATGAGGCCAATCCCCTCACCCAATGCGAAACCAAGTGACTTATGTGTATTGACCAAGGGCTGGGGCTATATCCTCTGAGGCCACTCCATCACTCTGTAAGGTCCTGACAGAGAGGGATTCAAAAACAGTGTGGATAGTGTGTGTGCAAAAGGCGTGGGGGGAAGTCTCGAAGCGTTGGAATGTTTCCAGGAAAACAGGACAAAGGAGACTGGGCAGGAATACAGAGTGGTGGATCCTGGCACACATGCCTGTGGCAGAAAGGTTGCTCTAGGTCTGGTCAAAGGAATAGCAATCTGTGTGAAAAAGACACTAAGACTAGTTCAATAATGACCAAAGTATTAATACAAATACAACCATAGAAGCACAATATTAAAGTAGAAAAATTCCTCTTGAGAGCCAGTTTGGTGTAGTGGTTAAGTGCATGGACTCTAATCTGGGAGAACCAGGTTTCATTCCCCACTCCTCCACTTGCACCTGGCTGGATGACCTTGGGCAAGCCATAGTTCTGATAAGAGCTGTTCTTGGAAAAGAGCAGTTTCTGCCAGAGCTCTCTCATCCCCACCCACCTCACAGGGTGTCTGTTGTGGGGAGGGGAAGAGAAAGGAGTTTGTAAGCCACTCTGATACACCTTTGGGTAGTGAAGGCCGGGGTATAAATCCAATCTCTTCTTCTCTTCTTCTTCTTGAGGTGAAGATGCATGAAGAATAATATAAACGAACAATCCGGATATGAAGAACTCAGTTTCGAAGAACTTCCTCAGTAACTGATAAACAATATATCTTCAAATATGTTATATGCACTCTTGTGAGGCTCAAGGCTTTACATCACACTTCTGAAATTTTTCTACTTTAATATTGTGCTTCTGTGGTTGTATTTGTATTAATACTTTGGTCATTATTGAACTAGTCTTAGTGTCTTTTTCACACAGATTGCTATTCCCTTGTATACCCTGGGGTCATTTCCTGCAGGAGCACACAGGAGCGGAGCTCCGTCAGTAAAGAGCCCAGGGGGTGGGCACATGCAACAAGCCCCACCCCCTGCTCCCAGCAGCCCTCAGTCAGAGCAAGAAGCAGCCAGGTAAGCTGCAGAGCTCCCCCTGGCCCCCTGGTCCAAAACAGTCCAGTGGCACCTTTAAGACCAAGTTTTATTCAGGTACAAGCTCTCCTTCCTCTGTGAGGACAGATCTGCACGCCCCCCCCCCAATAGCTAGCAATCCAAAACAGTCCAGTGGAGCCTGAGCGGTGGGTGTTGCCTTCTGACACGCTTCCGGTGATGTCAGGGGGCGTGGCATATGCAAATAAGTTACGCTAATGAGCTCCAGCACCTCTTTTTCTACGAAATGACCCCTGTGTATACCTACACTGTGTGTTCCTCTTTGGTTGCTGCTAGGTCTGGTCAGAAAAACTCACTTGATCTCCTTGTTGATGGCCTCCAGCTGCTCCTGTAGCATAATGGCCAGGGTCTGCACATCAGCCTGCCCACTGGGGGACAGCAGGTCAGCTGAGCTGAACAGGGGGTCTCGCTCATCTTCATCCGAACCGTCCAACCCGCCCTCAAAAGGGCCTCCAGCTGCCTGCTGGGCCCTTTCCCACTCCTGAGTGGGTATCACCTGTCGGGAGGCGCAGGGGAAAGAGAACAGAGTGAGGCCCAGCTGCCCAGCTGCCCACCAGCGTGCGGTGGGAACAGGTCGTTTATCACAGAGGCAAGAGAAACCCCTCTCGTGTGACTTACTAAAAGGTGACAGTGAGAGGCTTATAGCAAAGCCTATGACCGCTGAAGCCAAGGCCACTTCCCTCCCCTGCCCCTGTCTCGGACTCCCAGCATTCCTTTGCTGTGAGGGTAGCTCATTCCCCCAAAAAAGTGACGTCAAGAGGGACACTCACCAAGAGGATGTCCAACAGGAATGGGGGAGGAAAAAAGAGAGAAGAAATCATGTTGTGGGGGAAAAGAGTGAGAAAAGGTAAGGGACACAACCACCAAAGCATTCCGTCCACCACACCACAACCCTTCCTGACCCTCAGATGTGATCTCCCAGGTTTTCAGCCCGTTCTGCCGAGTGAACCCATCACCCTCTGGAATCTGCCTCTATGTCCGTCAGGGACTGCCTGTGTTGGAGGAGGAAGATGAGGGGCTGGGGAAGATCCTGACAATGGGTTAGATTTAACCAGCTTTTCTGCTGGTGAAAAGAGAGGAAGGGGGTCTCCTTTGACCACCATGTGCATGTGGTAAGAGGGCAATTTAGGTAAGACTGATCTGGATCCAACCCAATGTTTGACTTATCACTAGACATTCCTGACCCATTCAATGCTCTTTCAGCACCACAGCCATTCCCCTCTCCTTTTTTTAAACTCTCTGCTTGGCTTTCTTTTGACTGGCTTCAACAGTCTCCCCCACCTTCTGCTTGTCATTCCTATCCAACAAACACTGACAACCCCAAATACACAATCAGGCTAGCTATGTATACCCCCTCACTCCACCAGTGTCCCCTTGTACTCAACCCACTGCCCTTAACCCCGCCCTGCTACTTCCTGTGAAACCCTGTACCTTCCCCTGATCCATGGCGTCACTTACGCTTTCCAATACCCACCTTCCCTCTCCCGCTACACTTGTTCTCTCCCAGTTTCATAACCAAGCCCTGCCTATCTGCATCCACAAGCTCACTGGGTCTGACATTTGTTAGTAAAAATAAATTGTGAACTATTTAAGTACACTAATGCTAAATTGCCCAGTTGCCTATACTTCTTCATTTTTGTTGCACGGTTTGATAGAGAGGTCTAAATGTGTGGGGTTTTTTGGCTTGCCACATCCTAGAGAAGGAAGCTGGAGTACCCTAGGGCGCTTCCACACTAGAATCCTTTGGCGTCCCCGCATGCTATATTGCCCATAATCCATTGCACTTGGTTTTGTTCCTATGACTTACCAATGCAAAGTTGTTCCCTTTAAACCCCACCCCATCTGCAATTTCCTTCCCAACAATCACTACCAAAGAGTTAGAAAAAGGCAAAGTAATACAGGTGGGCACTCTGGCATATTTCCCCACAACAGTTTTCAAATCTTTTCAAGATGCGTGCATAAGCAATTGTGTGCATTCAAGCCTACAACAGACATGATTAATTGGCAGCTGCTGGAGTGGGTGGGTTGGGAAGGCTTTTAATTTAGATCTTTTTTAACCCTTTCAGCATTTTTCAAGATGTGCACACAAATAATTGTGTGCTTTCAAGTCTGCCACGGAAATGTCTAATTGTCAGTGGAGGATCCCACCTCCTTTTTTGCCTCCCCCCCATCGTAAATGTCCAGATGATCCAAAATCTCCTGGTCCTTCTACGTGGGTTCACAACTGCTGTTGATACTCCTGTTTTCTGCACTATCATAAGCACCACCAAAATTAAGAAGGGCATGATAAACTAAAGCAAAATAGCTCATGGGTGATGTGCACATGTATTGGAAAGCACAGACAATGTTATCTTTTTTTAGAAGTATAATAATAAAGTAGCACAACCTGCAAGGGATGGTGCTTTTGGATAGGAAATGGGGAAGGGAACAGAGAAAGCTGGAGATTCGGGGCTGAACCTCCAGCCAAGTCACTCAAGGGCCTCTCCTGCAAGCAGCTTCGTCCCCATCACCAGTGGCACAGATAATGACGAACATCATTATCTGAGGTCCGAGCCAAGCTTGGTGTCAACCTACTTGGCAGTGGTGTGGGCCCAAGAGATCACGGGTGCACCTTGCTTGGGGGAGAGAAAATTCCCTGAGCCTGCCCTGCACAGCTCTCTCATTTACCATGTCATACACACACACCCATGCACACACCTACCAAGTGAAACAAGGGTGCAAAACTGGCCTACACCTAAAATGACAGCAGTACAATCACGAGGGAAGCTTTTGAAGTTGGTTGACCAAAAAAAGATCCCAAAAATGGAAGCTATGGAAATGATTTTAGAGAAATATACCGAGTGGATCCTCAGCAATACATGAATGGTATGTAGTGCGTCTACTTGAAGGAGAAAAACAGGTTGCTTACCTGTAACTGATGATCTTCGAGTGGTCATCTGTGCGGTCACATCTATGGGATCTAGTGCGCTTGCGCTGATCTGATCGGTGTTGTACAAAGCTCACAACGGGATTTTCACGCCTCCACCCTGAGCCTGCGCGGGAACCCCAACTGGACATGCCCAGGGGGGTGGAGCGCAGACATCCTGCCAGTTCCTTCTGACCGCTATCAACCAAAGCTGTGTAAGGAAAATGACTGAGGATGACAGCAGTGGGGAAGGATGGGCGGGCGGTGTGACTGCACAGATGACCACTCGAAGATCATCAGTTACAGGTAAGCAACCTGTTTATCTTCTTCGTGGTCTCTGTGCATCACACCTATGGGAGATTGAAAAGCAGTGGCTCACCTGGAGGTGGGCGCTGTCAGGCTCAGTGCTCTGCAGAGGACAAGACCAGACGACCCAGATCAACCTTATTCTGAGCACGAACGTCTAGTGCGTAATGTTTAATGAACGTGGTTGGCGTGGACCACGTGGCCGCTCGACAGATAGAGGACAGCGATGCGCCCTTCATGAAAGCTGTGGAGGTTGCCATCGACCTGGTAGAAAGCGCCGTCAAGCGTGCAAGGAGGGGACACTTAGCTAACAGGTAGCATAACCTAATCGTCCGAACGATCCACTTTGACAAGCGCTGAGCTGAGATCCTTGACCCCAGTGAGGCGTTGGAGTATGAGAGGAACAGAGTATTATCTCTCCTAGTAGACTGAGTCCAATTCAGGTAGAAGAGGAGTGCCCTCTTGACAGCGAGAGTGTGAAGAAGGCGTTGTTCTTCCCTGCCAGGGCAAGGGAAGAAGTCAGGCAGGAAGATTTTGGAGTTCAAATGAAATTCCGACACTATCTTCGGTAGAAAGGAGATGTCCGGCAACAGACGTACCCCATGTGACA